GAGAGAGAGAGAGAGAGAGAGAGAGAGAGAGAGAGAGAGAGCCGTCCTTCAGTCACGTGCTACTTCCCTGGCACTGCTTCCTAAATAACTACAGTCATGACTTGTAGCTCTCCAGCTTCAAGCCTAATTCATCACTAAACTGGATAAAAAGAAGTTATCCGGACAGCTGCTGTGGGGATTTCAAAGACAGAAGGCTTGCGCACTCCAAATCTCCGTGGCTTAAAGCGTGCCTCTGCGGCCTGGAGAGTCAGAGCGCTAGAAGGTGTGGGAGCACATAAAGACATGAAGCACGCATGCCCAGGGGCTTGCTGGGCGGCCTACATGGTGGGCTGCTGGCTGCAGGCCAGTGGCTGCCAGTTTGAATCCACGCAGAGGCCCCTTGGAAGAAAGGCTTGGAAGAAAACCCCGTGGGGGCACAGTTCTGCCCGCATGGGCCCTGAGTTACTCCTGATGGCAACTGGTTTGTGTAACACACACACACACACACACACATGAGACAGATTTTGACTGTCAATCATGGTCAGACTAGTGGAAGGCACAGGGTGTTGGTAGAGCGTGGTAGGGGTAAGGCCACTTCACATAGGGAGGTCAGAGAAGCACCCTTTGCACTGAGAACAACAGAGTCAAAGCGAGGCCCGCGGGAGACCCTGCACAGTGTCTGCAGAGGGACAGAGGTGAGAAGGGCACAGGGCTCCCCAGAAAGGCAGACTTCCATGGGCGACGGAAGACCAATGTGCAGTCCTGCTGGGGACACAGATGAGGGAGGTGTGGGACCTGGCAGGGCAGGACAGCCAGCCTACAGCCATCGGGTCGATTCCGCTCGCCGCCGCCCTGTAGGACAGAGTAGAACTGCTCCCTGCAGGTTCGGAGACCGAGCGTCTTCACAGGAGGCGCAGCTGGTAGGCTCAAACCGCAGCCCAACGCGTAGCCCACTACACCACCAGGGGTCCAGGAGGTCATGATCAGGAGGCGTTGGGAAGATTTGTTCCAAATGAGATGGGAAACCATTCAAGCAAGGACTTTCGGAAAGGGCATGACCCCTGACTGAAACGAACATTTCCCTACTGTGTGGAGAATGAATGCATGGAGGAGCGCAGACACAGATGCCGTGAGAATATGCTTGGGAGGCTTGGTCAGAGGTCTGGGTGCGCGAAGGGACATGGGTGGATTTGAGAGCCGGAAGGGCCAGGTCTCCTATTCACTCCCCTCTCGCCCTCTTCCCGGACCCCCACGTAACCTGGAGATAGCACTAACGCGCCCTGCCTCTCAGACTCCCGGGGCGCTCATTCAGGCTCGGTGGCAACTTCCCCAGGCCACAGAGAGAGAGAGATGGGCTCCAGGAGGAGACGGGGGACCGCTCTAGCCTGGCGCTTCGCGAGGGAGGAGGCGTGGACCTCCTCGGGAACAGAGCCTGAACTGCGAGTGCCAGCGTGCAGGGCCACACGTTCATGCTGAAGTGCTCGCTGCACGTCCAGGACAGCCAGCCCTTGACCTCTGGTGAAGCTTAGCAGTAATCCTATAACCCTTGCCAAGGGCTGTGTGGACTACGGTACCCACGGTATACAGTTAAATGTTGAGAGGTGGCTTCTGATATTCTCCCCCTTGCACCGATGACAATGCCGAGGCTTCCCTCAGAGAGGCACAAAGCGGGTGAGCGTGCGGGTGAGGGTTCAAACCCACGTCTGGGTGGATCCTGAACCACAGGATTGGCTCGGCTGGGTTGCTGGGGAAGGCGCTCCAGCCCAGCCTGGGGCTGGGCAAGCCCGAGCTTACAGTGAGCAGCTAAGGCCAGGATGATTGAGTGTGCAACCAAGCACATCAGAAGGCCTCCAAGACAGGGAGAGAGCGAGGGAG